ACACGCTACGTTATTATAAAACTGTTCCACACTGATTCATAAATTCATACTTATATTTGGACATACTCTTATGGAAGACTTTTACAACACAGAATCATTTCAGGTGCTAATCTAAAGAAATGTTTCCTTTGTTTTGGGGTCTGAAGTGGGGGGGTTTGGAGGGGAGAGGGACACGAAAGGAGGAAGAGGTGCAGGGTTGGTGTCAATCAAAACTTTGCTGCTTTACAGAGACAAAAAAGATTTCGTGTGCACCATAATGGATCGATGTAAATTATTGTGGTAGGGGTGATAAGTGTTACTTATTTATAGAAGCATTTACTTCTATATGGTCATATACGGTTATTTTTATATAATTATTACATATTCCTATTTAACATGTTTATAAAGATACATACATAAAACATTATGTATGCATGGCCTATGTAAGAACATACTGATATACTTACGTCCTCACTGAGCAAGGTGTACACCTATTTGTCTAAACTAGTACATTTAAGGCTCTATTCTAAAGTGTCAAAATCAAGTAACTTGCTGAATTAGGATATCAATAACTGACAATTTAAAACGCTTTACAAAAAGCTGCATCCCACTCAGCACAGATGGAACACTGGGGTGTTCAAAGACCCTACAGAAGCACTCAGCCCCTGTGCAAAGGACTTCAGCCCAATAATTTTCTTCTCTACAAAAATCAGGGAGTGGGACAGAGTCAAATGAACTCCTCCAAAGCACACACCACAAATCTGCCTGTTCACAACTATCCTTTGCCCTGCTGATATCATGACCTGGGCGATATACACACACAAAAATGAGATAAATCATCCATAGAAAGTATGGGAAAACATGGCAGTTGAGCTCTTGGAAAAAAAACTCCTAAAGGGCACACTCTTAGATCATCACCGTGATTTAGCCCTTGGAAATAGTTGTGCTACGCATTGTGGAGAACTTCTGCAGCAGCAATGATCAACTGATCTCTTCAATGACCCTCCAGGAGGCGTTTCCTCACAGAAGAAGGGGAACAAAGACTAAACCGATGTGTAACACAGGTCTACTGTGTGAACAGAAAAAGAGCAACTGAGTATCATCACGTCAGGGATTATTTTCCATGCTCGAGAAAAACAAGATGCAACCTTATGCTCTTCCAGAAAAAAAAAAAAATCACATTTATTTTGCCAAAGTCATAATAGATTATTGATACAAACGTGGAGGAGATAAAAGGCAGATCATCTCAGATGTGCAAAACAGGCCGCGAACTCAATGAATATAACCTCTGACAAGGGGCAGAAACAGCTGTCTTTATGTTAGCAGGGAATCAACAGGAAAATCTTTTCTTCTTAGTGATATTTGAGTATTTGTTGTTTCAAGGACAGAAACTAGAAGCGTGAAGACCTGATACAGATCTAGTCTATACAGAGAGAGGACTTCTACCTCTTCGCCTCTGTAAATAAGCACAAGCTTGGAAAAACATGCTCCTTGAAGTCACCTAGCCATTATTCTCCTATCAAATACATATATACAAATACACACACAAACGACTTAACATGGCATTGACTGACTACCTACATACTGATTTTTCTTTTTCCCTTTGGTACTGAGGCTCAATTATGAGCCACTGTTAGGACAAAAGCACCAAAACCTAAGGAATGTACAGGGTTTTCCTGCCAGGGCTGAAGGAAGCTTACTAAATGGTGGTCATGTTACTTACTTACATGTTGGTCAAAGAAGAAAAGGTACCTTGAATTTCAGAAGGAAACATATAAATGACACATAACATAACCAGAAAAGAAGTGAACAAATTTTAGAACTATATTTCACATCCTTTTTTAAAGTCATACAAACTACCACACCATAGTAGGTTCTCATCCGAGGTCCCGAACTCTTCAGATTTCATAAAGACCACTGAACCATCCATCACTCAACATCGGCACAATGCTTTAGCAAACCCTTTCACACACCCACCTCTCAAAATCCTTCAAGCTTCACAAATTCATATATTTTGAATTTTAATTCCTCTGAAGAAACAAATAAATTTTCCTTGACCTCTCAAAGGACAGAATTAGAGCATTTTTCTCCAACAGAAATACACTGATGAAATGCTGTTTGATTTTCTGTACATTTTATAGCTTTCCATCAATTCCACAATCCTGTACTGCATACTGCTTTTAGAAAAGAAAATCTCATTTCTGCAAAACGATACAGGATTAGTTGGATACTTATATGAAAGTATTGCCTATCCCTTAAAAATTACTGAACCAATGAGGAGAAGGAGAGGCAGTTGAACTACGTTTTAGTAATAAGAACTCAAAACTCACAGAGCAAGGGAAAAAGATATCTAAATTTAACAAAGGCTGCAGCTAGGGGTTTGATTTATTTTTAAGTGAATTTTAGTGTTTATGAAAGGTTCCCAGCACAACTGGTTCTCCAGACACAAGCTTTATAGAGAATTACCAGTGGCAAGAGAAGGTTTTAAGATAATACTCTGTTTATCGACACACACAAAAAAAATACATATAACCGTCCAGAAGGGAGGGCAGCGCAGAGGTGTGTACGTTAATAGAGCCCGTGGGAAGCGGCACGGCCACATCACTGCTGCACTGAACTCTGCCAGTCCTCCTGAGTGCCAGGCTCCATCTTCTCATGAAGCTACTTCACATGCAGCTTCAGAGCTGCAGCGGGGTGCAGTGAGTGTCCCAAGCAGCCTGGCTGTGCCACACACACCAAGCTGGGAAGCACTAGCAGCATACGTGCCTTCAGTCTCCGCTGCAATTCAACTGAAGCACATTAGATTTACAACATTCTGAACAGCCAGTGACATGAAAACCCCTGGTTAGGAGCCTCCTGATAAGATATGAAAGCCATTAAGTAGCACTGTTCTGTCAACAAAACTGGACTGAGTTCAGATTAATGACCCTGCTATCAAAATAGATTCATTTAAATTTCTCAGGAGCTCAGTAATGTTGGACATTTGCTACAACCCAAACAGCTGAGGTTGAGAGTTAGGTTTAAAAAACAAACCAGATATACCCAATTTCTCCTTCCACCTCTAAGAATGAAACTGGCTGAATAAGGGAAGTCAAGGATAAATACAGTAAATATATGATATGCCCCTACAGCCTTCCTTAGGAGTGCTTCTTATAGACATAATTTCTTGTTTTATCGGAGTTATCTCAATTTCCCCCTACTCAAGAGAGTCAAGTATAATACCTTGTATTACTGCCTTCTGCCCCAAAGACCTTGCAACCTAAAAGCAGCCAGGAGAAGGAAAAATTACTACATGGAGAGCGAGCTGAGTATGAACGAAGGAAAGAAGTAACACTGATCTACATATCTGAAAGAGCAAACATTAAAACGATCTCAGAGAGACTAGTACCATTTTACCCAAGCCCCAACACCAGCAATTCCATCTGCACTCCTCCTTATTACTCTTGCAAACCCTGCAATTCAGAATAAAATCATTCGATGTGGCTCATAAGGGCTGAATAATTTCAAAAGAAGATCGCAAAAGCAAAGCTCAAGCTGAGCTGCATTTGACTTGCGGGTGCAGTAAGCGGTGACACGGCTGGCAGACACTTTTTCAAACATTCTTTCTTACTTCATCACCATCTGCAACTGCAGGAAGTAAATGTACAACCTGTGTTACGCCTTGTTGCTCAAGTAGGACTGTAACTGTACTGAAGACTTCCTTATGGAAATGCTCTTCCTCTTTCTTAAAAGATTCAGACTCTCCAGGATCTCTGCCTTCCCATCTTAATTCTCATTAGCCTTTCCACCCTCTGCCACAAAGTTTAAGGTTTAAACTTGCATATAACTTGTGTCATGCAGACCCAATAATTTTTCAGGTACTTGTTATAAATCATAAACTTGGAAAATAGCCTTATTGCAAATTCAGTCTAAATAAAAAAATGTAAAAGCTCCTTCTTTGAACATCTTCATAACTACTTGTACAAAAACAGAAAGTAAACTTCAAGAGGAAAGCAGCTGAAAGAGCACAGTACTGAATTCCACAGTTGTCAGTACCAGATCCACACACCACCCCACCTTCTAGCAGTGCCGCTGAACTGCACCAGCTGCAAACGCACACAGTTTTGTGACATTAAGGAGCGTAACAGATTGCAGCATAGACTGTGTTGGCTTCATACTTGTTTGCTAACTGGAAGAAAATAAAAGTTACTAGATCCAGAAAAAGTTACATAGCTGTGGTTAGACATCACCTGATCTGGTATAAGACCTGCCAGTAGAAAGCCAATCCAAGAACATTTTTTAAACTGGAATCAGAAAAGTTTGTTTTATCACCACTTTGCATCATGTGGTACCAGCATTTTTGATCTGACAGAAGAATCCTTTCAAATTTCCTTTATCATTGAACCATTGCCTATTTGCTCCCTCATTAACTTCTTCTGACAGCACGTAAACACTTAGTTTAGGTTAGTTTAACCTGCACTCATCTAGAAAAAGAATAAAATGTTTCACCTCAAACGAAAGAATCTGTAAGAGAAGCGCTTGAACTTACCTTTCACTGGCCTACTAATGTAAAAGGAGAAAATAAGAAAGCATGCATGAACGGCACAGTCTAAAAGGTTTATACATTGTTTTACTTCAGCCAGGGGACAGCTTAAAGGGAGAGAATGACACTTCAGAAAGAAAGGACATCAAAACCACCATTTTCTCCACAGAACTTCACTCAGCACAAAAGTCGAATTAATAGTTTTTGATAAAATATATCCTAGTTAAAGTTATAACACATGCCAATAACACAGGATGCTTAGTGCCCTTTTAAATCAAAAAGTACAAGTTTTTGCTTTCACTTCTTTATTATCTATAACTTGCAATAAGTGTCAATTAGCATTTTCTTATTTATTTTAAATCTTCTTTTCCTCATAATGGAACAAATTTATTTGGTACAATCTCCATCATGTTCAGCAACGAGGACAAACCTTGCACTAGCAGAGGTCTGGAGACAACAAATAATGCGACAATTTAATGGTTGCAAAGGTCCTGCTTACCATGCTGTGTGAAGAGGTCACTGTGAACTATTTCTATCAAGCAGTACAGCTTCTGGATCGTGAGCCGGCTCACGGGAACATTTAGGATGAATTCAGTAAAGAGTTTGCTACGTACAAAGGGACAAGTAAACATATATTAATTTCTCTCCAAAATACGTCAAAAATATCCAATAGCACAGAACAAGATAAACAACTACACACTTTTGGACAAGCACACTCATTTTTTTCCAGGCATAAAAGACAGGGATTTCAGAGAAATGTGTACCGTCTTTAACATGTGTGCTTAGTCTTCTGTGTCTTTGCTTTTGCCCTCTCTCTTTTATCTCCGGTTTTTACGCTCTTTTCACATGTTTCACTTAAGGTTTTAGATTTCAAATTTCAGTTGTGCTATGGCCTCTTCACTTCAATCACCACACACCATTAATAGAATAATACATGACCATATAAACCAAAAATAAAAAAAAGCGGTAATTCATGTTACAAGCTTTCACCAACCAAAAAAAAACCCAAACCCAACCACAAAAAACAGAAACACACATTTGAGGATGATAAGGTACCATGACACTCATCAGCTGAGCTACCACATACTACAGACTTTTTAAAGACTTTTTAAAAATTTTGCATCGCTTCCTAAAATCTTCGCATTTTTTGTTTTTCCTATTAAGCCTTCAGTTCTAATTATTCAATCTCAATTTACATACTCTAAGTGACAGAAAAACTGTAGTGTTTGGGGTAAAAGAGGCCAAGTCCTGGTATTTTTCATTTGGTGTATTTTCCAAATACCTTTGCTATCACATATCAAAATGATGATTTAGTCCAGAAATTCTATAAAGATATTCTCCCTAGGCCCATAGGAAGCATAAGTGTACATGTAAAAAAATTTACAGTACAGGCAAGCAGAAGCTAAATGCCACGTTCCTCAGGCCATTGGAATGTTAGGTTAAGATTATACTTATCTATTTTATTTCTACTTTATATTTCTTTTCTTCATTTTGAGTCACCAGAACATAGAAATAAAAACAGAGAATATATAGAAATGTTTATGCAATCAGATTATGTAAAAAAATTTTTTTCAACTTCTAACGCCTTGTAATAGCACTGTGAAACAGAAACTCACTTTTTTAAGTTAAAAGTTCTCCTGAAATACTAGTTTTGATTTGGTTTATTGTTGTTTTGTTCTAAAACATCTTCCTATTACCCTTTCTATTTACTAACAACATTCCGGTGTTTATAAGCTACTGAAATGTTGATTCAGCAACAGCATTCACTAAGCAAAACCAGAGTTATCGTTTACATTAAATTTATACTTGAAAGAGTAAAGCATCAAGTGTACAGCTGAAGAGTTTTGATGTGAATTGCCTGATTGATAATTCTTACTCTCATTAGATGATTGACTCAAGAAGACTGCAAAGGTTGTCAAGGCATTTGTCAAACCTTGATGCCATACATGGTACTTTAAAAACAGGCTATTTGTGTACCCCTAAAAATACTTGCACGGACAAAAAAAAAAAGTAGTAAGTAATAAAATCAAAGTGATAAAACATCTCAGGTGATCATATTTCCTTGCCTCTGAATATATTTTATATATATGTGTGTTTATATATATGTATGTATGTAAAACAAAGATCTAGGCAAAGTTCACACTACACATTTCATTAACTGTACTCACCTAAGTTCTTTTGGATCAAACACCAATTTCACATCATTGACAATGGCTGGCAAGTATTTAAGTGCTGCCCCCTAAAGAAATAAAAACAACAAATAAACAAGACTGAAATTCATATGTCTTTAAAGGTGATGCAGACTGCAAGAAGAGAACCATACAAGAGTAGGTTGCTTTGCCTTAACTATTCTCTGCAGCTTCAGTTCAACCCCTGTGGCTTGCTCTTCGCATGTTCTTTTGGGGATAAGTTACCTAAACTGAAACTCAATGAAAATGAAACTTTTCGATTTAACAGATTTAAAAGAAGAAAGAGGCATAAAAGATTAGTAATCTGGGAAAACTGACAACTTACACCAAAATTAGAGATTTATAAGCTCCTTCCACGTGTTACAGAAACCTTTCGGTGTTACCGGTACACAACGTATAACTAAGTTCTGTTCCTCTAATCACTTTTTCCCCATCTTCTGTAGAGCTGGAGAACCATCTTCTCCTCATCACCATACTGTAGCTGTTTGCGTTTAATTTTCCCTCCACTACTTAAAAATGACATAAAAATGCACAATTGTCATTTTTCCCTGCAGTAAATCCTTGGTAGCCGCTAATGAAACTGCAGTTCTTTCTAATTCCTCTTGAACTTGCAGATGTCACTCCATTTCACAGTACATAATGAAAGGATTAAGAAGATACAAACAGATGTTTAATATTTTAACTATTCGCAGTAATTTTAACTAATTTTGTCTTTCCATTTCTTAGTAACAATTAGTATTTATTTATTTATTTCTAGAGCAAACATTCTCTCATAGGCATCAAGAGCAAAAATCCAGCAATTAAAAATTACTGCCCAGCAATTTAATGCAATCGTGCTAGAATAAACTTTGGGTTAGAAAATAGTATATGGACCTCTAGAAACACTTAGTCTGCACAAACAACTGTTTCAATCAGATAAAGTTGGGGGGTTTTTTCTTCATTTGTAAATGGATTTAAATGCCCTATTTCAAATAACAGATGAGAAATGTTCTGCCTAAGAAATGCTAAGGGAAGTACAAGTCTTTGGTTTTGATCTTAACCTTATTAGCTCATACACACGCACTATTTTTACTGAGGTTCCTCAAGTTCTTGCATCCACTGAGCACCAGACTAGAAAAAACCCACAGTAATTCAAATATAAACCACAACAGGCTGACTTATTTCACTTACCTTTACATTTTATTGAGACTATCAAATGGTTTGATTACAGGCGTATTTTTGCCTCAAAACAGGGAATGATTCATTCCCCATACTAGACATTTCTGTTTGTGGGTTTAGGGCTTAGCACTTGCAGTTTCCATCAACGAGAGCACCATGTGCTCCCTATCCTTCTCAATTAGAAGGAAGATGAGCCCTTACACTTTTCTTTTTTAATCAATTCTCTTCTAATCTGAAGACCATGACATGGCAAGTGATTATACGACACAACTCCATGGTCAGAGGAATTCAAGAGACAGAAAAAACTCTATTTAGCAGTAGTTGTTAACAGCAAGAAGAGCCACAGGGAAAAGGACTTGAGGAGTATTGCCTCGTAGGTACATACAAAACCACTTGTCTATTTTCAAACAATTACACTTTTCTGCCACAACCCTAGTAATTTTAAATCAAGTTCCATCGTTCTTGAATGTAAGAGGTCAATTGTTTGATTACGGTCACAAGGATAACTTCAAGCAGTCAGCGTGGGAAGTCTGCCAACGCTTGCTGACCACTTTTAAAAGAGAAAAAACCCAACATGGCAATAGGTTAGATGCAAATTTCAGAGTGTTCCAGTTTTTATTCATAGTCCGTTTAAACCATCAAGCTTGATCATCAAACATTTCCACGTATGCTTAAAGGACTACTTACATGCTCAGAAATCAAGCTCATAACTGTAATTATGCAAATAGTCCCATTATGTACACGCTTATGTGTTTTGATAGATGAGGACTCTAATGACCAGTTATAAACCGCAGCCATCGCTGTGTTTTTATTTGCTTATCATTCAAATGCATGTAGCAATAAATGTTTAGTAACACATACTAAAAAAGGGCTTGCGTTTTACATCTTGAATTAAAATTTCACACTGTGCTGGCACAATCATTAAAATTAACACTTTAATAGCTTAAATGAAGTACTATCAGGTGAAACTATTTACAGCATCAATTTAAAGCCTGTAGTTACAACAATTATCAGCAACTTAGGTTCTAATTGGTTTGTCCATAAAGTAAAGTTTAATATCTTAAAATTTAAAGACAATTGTGGGCGTATCTTTCCCAATTTCCAATCTCAATGCACTCAATTATATGGCAGAGAGTATGATCAGACAAGTAGGCTCTGCAGTCCCATGATTAAATCTGTGTCTGTGTAACCCAAAGGTCTACTAAAATAACTTTTTGTTGATATTAACTCTCGTAAAAGAGCAGCTCTCACTGTAGATTTTACTCTGTTAGAAGCTGCAGCTGAAAGTAGATCTTTTGTTAGCAGTAGCACAATTGCAGTGATGGTTATTCCCAGGATACTGGAATACGTAAGTGAGGAATATTAAATTCAACAGATAAAAAAACCTTTTCATATAACACCAGGAAAAAACAAATAAGCAATCTGATTTGGCTTTTTTCCATTGAAACAAATTAAATTAGATTACTTTTCACATTCGATCAGTACTGGACAAAGGTTCAAATTCCTCATTTCTGCAAGAATTACACGGCAAACTAAATCAAAATCTTAATTTCATAGTTACACAGTGATGCCTAAGACACTTGAAAATTCAAAACAGCATTAGAGAAAACACAATAATGAAGAACCTTAATTCTTTGATTTTTATTCAAACAAGTTTTTGCAATAATTGCCACGTGATCATATTAGATACACAAAGCTGGAAATATCAGTCTCACATACTTAGTCAATAATTATACACAGTTTCAAGCTGGGCTGCAATTGCCACATGATCATATTAGATACACACACAAAGCTGGAAATATCAGTCTCACATACTTAGTCAATAATTATACACAGTTTCAAGCTGGGCTGCAACAAAAATTTTACCGCCCAAAGGGTCTTCTCTCTTTGTGGAAAAAAAAGTGACAAATTATTACGACCCTTATCAAGTTACAGAATCATCCATTTTAAGTACTACAAAGGACACAAACCAGCAGAGGGAAAGAATAAAAAAGGAGAGAAAGCAAAAACAAGACAGTGCATCGTATGAATAATGGATATGTTTTTCCTGTTACTGAGTTAAACTTCCTTGTACCCTCAATGTTATGTTGACTGTCAGTGTATTATTGGCCTTTTTTTTTTTTTTCTCGGATGTGATTCACATGCGAGTCAAGGATCGGCATGACGCCATCAACGGCGTGTCAGCCTGCGAGCTAACTCCAAGTACCTTTCAATATTATGTCTCACGTCTTACTTTGCCCTCTCCCCACCACAGACAAGCATATACACAGCTGTGCACTTACACAAATGTGTTAATTCTCCCTTTATGAATATCGTATCTATGCTTAAAAAGTATTATACCACAGTCAAAGAAGACGCATATGAAAAGAACCATTAACCGACACTTACTCCATGAACCAGCTCTGCCAATACAACCTATTGAACTTGCTCAGTCGATGAGTGTAGTGCTTCAAGGATACCCTTCTAAACTATAAAAAAGGCAATTAAGTATGCCAAGAAATAAAACTCACTAAGTGAAAATAATAAGGTCCAGAAAAGTCAAAGCTTTGCCTTAAACAGAATAAATTAAGCAATAATTGATGGTCACAGTTCTCTGCACAGCCAATACAGAGGACGAAATTCCTAGGTTTTATCATTCCACAGAATAATTGCAACTTATTCCTTGAATCACCACAACCACCCCTCTATCTAGAGCAGTCATCCTTTGCAACCTTTAAGATAAATTCATTGATGCGCTTATAATGACTTAACGGCTAATTGTATTTTTCTAAACTTCTTCAGAGCTAGCAGCTAAGTAACACAGGGTTTTGGTTTTTTTCCCCCCATGTTAAAGAAACAAGCTCAGTGACGGTCTGTGTCAAAAGATTAGTTTGGGGCAGGGGGGGAACCTTCAAACATAGTAAGAAGGCCAGAATAAAGAAGACCAAGTGCAACGGAGGCGTTATTTCTAACGGTGGTCCCTCTGAACATCAGTGAAGGGTTCACTGCAGTGCCCATGCTGCCACAGCTCTTTTTTTTGCCTGATGGTTCATTTCCAGACAGGTTTAATGAGGCAAGAATGAGTAAGGAATGGGATCTACCAAGAGAAAAACTAGCACATTCCTCAGACCTAAAGGTTCAAGGAGTTTCTATGACTAAAAACTCACCCTAAGCCAGCAATTTATAAAACACTGTCAGCAAAAAAAAGTCCCTTTATTCTGAAAGGAACTCTTTCTGCAACTTTTTGGAGGGGAAAAAAACTTCAAACCCCAAAAAAACCTGTTAGAGCACTTCAACATTTGCATATAAAAACTGTGTAAAAATCAGAGTAAGTTTCATTTCTTTTTTGGAACAACAAAAAGAATCCTAAAAACCCCAACTGCTAAAACTAGCTGGAGGAGCTGCCTTACAGAAAAGTTCCCGAGTTTTTCATTGCTTCGCGAAGATGGGCAGATAGCAGCACTCCTGCCAGAAAGAGACGGGAGGACAGATACACATCATTTCTTCACGTCATTAGGCAAATGTAAGCACCTCGACCTTGAAGTTTTGGGACTCCCACCAGGCCCCAGGCAACCTGAATCCCTCTTCACTCCTAACAGTTTCCTCTAGGACACGGTGTAAGCCTGTCCTCCGACCCCAGCTCCCTTCAAGCCCTGCCTAGTTTTAAGTTGGGGAAAGACAAAAGACAGACTAGTACTTCTCCATGGAGTCTGCTTCTGCAAACCTTTCAGTTGGCTGGAGATGGCTTCACTTGTGAAGAGCAGCATTACCTTCAGCATTCGGTCACCAGTGCTCAAAGTCACTTATTAGCCCACCTTTTGAAAAGCCACATGGATTATCATTTCAAACACTGACAATCCAACATAATCGCAAGCCACAAAGAACATACCTACACAGAAGTGCATATGCTCAG